TACTACTACTACTACTACTACTACTACTACTACTACTACTACTACTACTACTACTACTACTACTACTACTACTACTACATAATGAATTGATCATAATGCTCTTATGTTTTATTACTAAAAGAGGATACGGTTCCAAGTGTTAGTGTTTAAGCAAATGTTCATGGTATAATTATGCTGACATTGACATTCCTTTTGAACCAATGCAAACAAAAATAAACAAATATGGCAGGCCCACTATATAGTCGTGTCTTCCATGGTACATCATGCTCACTTTGTCCTCGGGGCCACTTCGTCCTATGCCTCTCAGAACGGGCCCTCGGCAACGAGATCACAGATTTTCACAGGGTCCCAATTGCACTCCTTGAAATAATCATGGCTGCGTGGAAAATGGTCCCTTACAGTCTTGGATGACAATTTTCCGAAAGCAAACAGGTGGTGAACTCCACTTGCATTCTTATTTCAAGGAGTGCATGAGTGCATGCCTCCCAGGCCACACAATTTGTAGATCATCGTGGATCTACTGTCCGTGGGCACAGAAAATGGGACGAATTCTAGAATTCCATACCAGCATATACCAGCACCTTCCAACAGGTCTCCGAAATGGAGGGTTGTTAGGCCCTAACTGGTTTCAATTGGTGACCTGTGGAAGGTGCTGGTATAGAATTCCATCGAATCGATGACCTAACGCACCCTCGCCCAGACCGTCCGCGAGACGTTCCGGCACCGGTGCAGTTCTGCGCCTCGGGCAATTCCTCCTTCTGCATCTCCGCCTGGAGTAGCTCTGTGCTCTTCCGCAAGACACGGACGTGTGGAAGAGAAGAGGTCCCTGAAAGCTCGCTTCGAAAAAGAAGGAACATGGACACCTCCCATTGGTTTGTGTCTGGGAGGTCGACCCACCAGTTCCACACAGGTCTCCCGACCCTGTCTGACAGACCCGTTTCCCGACCTGGAGAGTCACTGGTTTTGCAGCAGTTTGCATCCCATTAACATTTCAGCGTGGGCGTGAAAAAAAAAACAGACACTTACAGATCAAGGACCTCATTTCAACTGCAAAAAGCGCGGATCGACCAGATGAGCTTGGTCGGACCAGGCTTTTAAAGCCCGGTGCGACCAGGCTTTCCGTCCGCTGCGGCAGGGCAAAGGATTGGTCACCAAAAAGGGCCGTGACATCCGGATGGCAAGTTGGGTGACAGGTCTCCCCAGTTTAGTATGTTTTGAATATATACACATCCCGCAGGGGTCACATGAAGTTGGGTGGTGTGGCTCGTCCCATCCAGTGAGGGGGGGGATGTGACAGGCATCCCGAGAAGCTCCATGGATAGCACCCCGACCTGAAACTCCGCCAGCATGTGTTCTTAAACTTGAGCCATTTTTGAACGTCCAAAACTACTAGCATGTGTTTTTGAACGTCCAAAACTGCTAAACTTCTTAAACAGTTTAAACCAGCATGTGTCCTCTCTGAGACATCCACCATCGATTTGATCCCGTTCGTTCACGAACTCGGACCAGAGATCAGAGTCAAAGAACAGTCGCAGGATGGTGGTCCCATCTTTGGCTGCAGGCTTACCCACACTCTGTGGGACTGGCAAACATAGAGTTATAATACACATCGAGGTGATTTCAGGGGTCAATGTATGCAACTACCCTCCCCACAGACTGAGTTTCAGAATAATTTTTGCAATAATATAAATATAATGTTCTGCACAATGTTCTTCAGTGCATGTTGTTTCGGGGATCATGCCCATTGGGTATGGTGACGAGACCTCACAACTTCAACTAAGAGGACAACTTGACCTCTTCAGCACAAGGAGTGGCCGAAGTCCCTCACGGCATGTCGCAAAAAATGGATCACAGCTGAAAAACTGACCGGTCAAACACCCAAAGACATACGTGCAAACACCGGGATGAAAACGGACTCATGTGCGACTGCAAACGTGGCCGTCGCCGCTTCCGCGCGGCTCCGTCCCGCCTCCTCGCGTCCGCCATAGCCTCGAGGGATTTGCCTTGCGACGAGGGTCGCGTTCGGGTGGCGCTTCGGCGGACAGGGACAGGCGGTGTGTTTTGGGGAAGTGAAGCTCACGACTCACATGACTGTTGGGTGCTGGTAGAGATACACTTTGCTTATTGTATACATTACTATACCTTTAGTCCCTTTCGGATTGGGAGCCTGGGGGACGTTGTCAGTAGATGGGAGATGGAATCGAACTCCTGGCTCGAAATCAAAGAGACTTCAGACCTTCCAAAGGCAGTCGCAAACCTCAGCAAGTAGAGCGACCGGATGATTTGCTTTCAACAAAAAACGTCTTCCCAACGCTGCTGGCGCAAGGAAGAATGAGTACAAATGGCCTCCAGTCAAAGCTCTACCCCATGTCAATCCAAAATGATCTGCAATGGGATATGGGCATTTGTGGACCATGTTCTCCTTTACCTTGCTGGGATGTCTTCAAGATTCAAGAGCAATGATAGTCCTTCGCACGCCGAAGCCGCTATGATGGACACCCCTTCCGTCAAATGATGGACATCTCTTCCATCACCAGCATTCCGCAACCTTCCGGGCCCCCCATACGGCTGCTGGAAGGGCGAGTACGCCGGCATGCCGGTGCGTAGCCTGAGAAACTGCCCGCACAAGACTTGTACCAAGGCATGCCCAAGCCTTCTCAGGAAGACCCCATGCCCGTGCATTCAATAATGTATATATATACATATAAAATAGAATGCTATTGATAACATCCCGCATCTGAACAGGTTGTACAACCCCAAATGGGGTTGTTGTAAATGAAGATCTTATACATTTACTCAGCTCCATGAAGGCATTGTACGTATCGTACATCGGACCACACTTGTCCCGTGGAACCCTTGGACCGGTCATGGGAGACGACGGGTGTGGCATTGGAGTTCATATGCCGTGTCTTGCCTCTCCAACCCCCATGGTACCCATCAAACCCACGGTACCCTCAACTCTTGAGGTGCAAAGCTCAAGGGACGAACTCTTGTAGCTCGGCAAACCAACACGGAAAGAACGCCCCCCCACGGTACTGGTCATGTTCCAAACATCTGGGTTTTTCCCATGCTTTCCCTGGTCCCCACTGAGCGGGTCCAGTCGGGTCAGTCTCTGACAACGACGGGGCCATGAATTCCATGATGATGACGATGACGACGATGATGACGACGACGACGATGATGACGATGACGATTCATGATTGATGATGATGATGATGATGTTGATATTGATGATGTTGTTGATGATGACGAGGGCGACGACGATTATGATTAAGACAAACTTATTGCCACATAAGACAAGCTATTTCCCAAAACTGTGCCTTCTTTTGTAGTTCATTGACATGAAGCCCAGTTCACTTCTTCCAGAGCACGGGTCAGTGCCGGAACTTGGGTGCAGGTGTTCATCAGAAGTTTCAGTGTCTATCAGCTCAGTCGGACCAACAAGAAACTCATGAAGCCGACCTGATTGAGCAGCGTCGTTTTCTATGACATCCAGTGAATGCTGTCTACCACCTTCCGATCGGGGTCTCCTGGCTCGACTACCCTCCACAACATGGTGGATCTCCATGTACCGTTTTGTTCAGGTCAAGGTAGGGCAATGCCGTACTGTTTGTTCTTAGATTTGCTCAAGAAACCGGAAAATACGATCACCTTAAGAAAAACCAGGTTTTGCTTCGGTTCATTCCATTCCACCGTGGCACCTCCTCCGAGGGCCAAATACTACGCCCAGCGGCGGAGAGGGTGGCACTGCCGGTGGGGCAGCGTGCTCCTCCTCGCCTGCAGGACAAAGGCTGAGTAGCAAGAAGCTCCCAAAGCACCTAAATGAGTATCACTTGCTACTCAGCCTTTTGGAACTTCTACATGGTCACTTGAACCGGATCATGGTCACTTGATACACCACAAAGTAGTATCACTTTCCTTTGCAGGTCATCCTTCTTCTGCTTCGAGAGTAGGGTAACTGGACCCCCCCCAAGACCTGCCCGACCGAAGGGCATTCGATTAAAAATATGATCTGCCCGTTTGGCTTCCTGGCCAACCATTGATTTAATGTATTGTTTTTAACCGAACAACCAGCGTTTTACCGAGGAATTTACAATAAAACACCAGGTCAACCTTTCTTTTAAAGGTCTTGGAAGGCTAGGGTTAACTACCCCAAACATCAAATCCATCTATCATACCCAGAGGATCCATGCATGGCGCAAAGATTGCCCACGACCAAGCACAACAAAATCATCTGGGTATATGACATCTATATTAATATCATATCATCACTCATATCAGCATCATATCCTTTCAGAATTGATATCATTGTGTCTCAAACACGTGGTCGTCTTCCGGTCCTCTCCAGTCTCTCGATACCCTTCGTCCTGCCGTCCCGCCTGTCTCGCCCAGCTCGGGAGCCTTCACGACGTGAACGAGGCACTTTTTCGTTGACCAAAAAGTGGTCCCAAAAGGACCGCATGGTTCAATACATTCTTAGGAACTGATCTGGCAAATCTATCTGCGGACTACTAGTTGTATAAAGTTTTAAGACTTTACTAAGATTACTTTCATGTTTGAGGCAAATGTTGGCCGCCGTGGATGACATCTGCATCCGATGAGGCAAATGTTTGAGGCAAAGTGCTGGTGTCATTCTTGTTTGGCCACAAAACTGATTCTGCAAGGAAGGGTGTACCCTTTCGGGTCATCGATGGTCAACAACCATCCAGGGGTAAGTAGGGTTGATTTTGGATGATGTTGGACCATTTTCAGGTTCCATGTTAATCTTCCGGGATGTAGAACACTAGGTCTAGTTCACCTTCACTCTGGAGTCTCTGGAGCCTTTTGGGTCAGGTCGCTTGGAGACAACATGTTGTGAATTGGAGGTGCTTGGGTTCTTCATCCGATTCCAAGAGAAGAGGAATAGGAATGGGAGTCCTGAGTCCTGAGAGAAGATGGGTTCGAGCATGTTCCACGCATCCTGAGCATTCATGCCTCACAATAGAATAATGTTTTTTCGTTGTGTTCTTTGCGTGTGGTGTCCTGTCCTAACAGCTGCTGACCTCCAGAATGCGCCTCAACCGATGATTGCCACGTGCAAGTATCAAAACCTCTGTATCTGGTAAAGGATATCCTCCCAATCTCCTGAGAATGTTGACCTTGGTGGTGAACTGGCCACTCAGGCGAGTGATCTCTAGCCCATCCACTGACCCTCCACAAGGCCAGGATGGTTCTGTCAGGCGGTTCAGGAGACATGAAACAAAACTATTGCCCACTCAAATCCTTCTTCAGTGCTTGCCATCCACTTCCATGACTATTTCAGGGAGTGTAGAATTTGTACCTCTTGCTTGGAGAGTTGGACTAACATGTTTCAGTCAGCAAAATGACCCTCCCGAGGACAGCATGTTCAGCCCAACAGGTCTTCCACTGGTACAAAGAAAGCTGATCATTCCCTACCAGTCCAGTGGGTTGTAAAACCTGGTCCGACCAACCTCATTGACTACCGGCTACGGCAAATTTGCATCACCGGACACTGTAAAAGGAGGTCCGTGAGACCTAAGGAAAACACTAACATCAACGAACATGACTCCTCTCAAGTTTTGTTCCGTTTAGAAAAAAACAGCTCTTTTGTTGTGCCTTTCTCTCGAACGAACGGCCGTTTCGGCATTTTTGGTTCAGAACTCCGAATGTTCAGCTTCACTTCCTCTCAGCGTGCCATGGACATTCAGAGTGCCATGCGGTTCCGCGCTTTGACTCCGCGGTAGCGAGCGTCCCGATCTCCAGCGGACTCGCCTTGGCTTGCGCCTCACAGGGCACTAGGGCGATGAGTCGGCACCACACGACGCGCGGGAAGATCACTGTTCAACAGACCTCTAGATTCCGATGCGAGGCTGCGAGAGACGGCTTGGGAATTCATAACATAATGCTCATAAATTTGGGAGTCATGTTAGGTTATAACTCTAGACACGTATGTTGAACTCCTATGAATGCTCGGTCCCAACCGAGATGTGCATCGAGCTCCAAATGACACCGGGAGCCTCGGAGGCCATGATCGGCGTGGGTGGCGGCGGTGTCTCCGGCCGGGGCGCCTGAACGGTGCCGAGCTGTGTGAGCTCGGCGGTGTGACGATGGTGGGCAAAACTGGGATCTTGGCGGTGGACGGCCTGTTTCTTTGATATCCATGCACATCTTGGGTAGATTCAAGCCACTCACCGAAAAAGTGTATGATGATAATGGGTTGTCCGCCCCCTGACTTGTCCTTTAAAGTAATTACATGAAGCAGGACAGATCTGAATTTCACTTTTTTGATGCTCTCCCACATGTCCAAAGCAACTCTCCAAGTTTCGCACGTCTACAAGGAAAATGGCACAAAACTGGCGTCCGCAGTCCGTGATTCGACTCGGCCCGCCTGTACAAAGCAAATCTCACCCGCTTCACCACCGCCCTCTGCATCCAAATCATCCAAGTTGGCCTTGCAGAGGTTTCTTGGATTTGCTTAAAGGAGCGACAAAAGGTAAAACATTACCCAGAAGATCCAGAAGCAATTCACCCAGTTCGGGAACATTAACAATCACCTAATCCACAACCGAAGACCTTGGCCCTGTGCGATGGGGGCCGGCATGGGCCGGCAAAGGTGAGCTTTTAAGACCAAGTCTTGTGAGTGACCTGGAAAACCAGTCCCAACCAGAAATAGATCAACGGTTGTTCCAGTCAACTCAGATCCTTTACATCGATTCCGCGGGAGGTCTAGAGCTATCATCAGAAATCATTCAAATGGAGGCTGGTCTTTGCGGAAATTCCTTTTGAATGGTGATTTGGTTGGAGGGAAACCAACCACAAGGATCCACAAGGAATTGCCATCAAGAAAATCAATCACCTCTCAAACATGAATGAAAGAAGAAGAATACAATACCAAAACACATCCCCCTAGCCTTCCAAGACCATTAAAAGAAAGACTTGGCTTCGTTGGCTTGGCCTAAAGTCCTTATAGTAAAACAATGGTTCTTCGATTCACATTGGTTAAATCGTGGAATACCAGGGTCCGATTGATCTGACGCACTCGGATCCAGATCGGCACCCCAGACACGTCCGTGGCGGCAAGAAACCTGACCCGGTCTTGTACCCAAACGCTCCAAACAGGCCGACTGGTCCCTCGTCAAAACCGGAGTTGAAACCCCTAAAACCCTCCGTATCAGGGTCTGTCCCCTACTTAGGAAGGTCCGTGAGCGTTTGCGCAGTCTCAATACTGATGACAGAATCCCTATTTTTGACTTGGTACAGTGGAAAAAAGACATATCAAACAGGTACGGGTACGACTCTGTTCGACTCAGACCCTCCTCTTCCCCCGTATCACCCCTGACCAAGACCCCCCTCTTGACCCAGATCCTTCGCACCTGTGGCTGTTGTCCACCATAGGGTGTCTTGTACGGACAGGCTTTGGACTGCGGGCGAGCTCCGCGACACGGGCGAGGTCCGCGACGATGCGTCTCTTGACCCAGGGAGATGGGCAGATGCGTCACATCGCGGGATGGGCCATCCAGGAATGAAACAGAAAGAAATACCCGGGGGTGACTTCCGGAACCTTTGAGTCGGGGTAGACATGGACAGTGGTGCTGGTTGAAGTGACGTATGATAACGCTATAACACATGGCCAGCGCCAGCATGGCTGGTGAGACCGAGTGAGACCTGCTCTCGATCCATGGCCGGTGTGTGTGTTCTGTGTCGACCTCGGTCGACATCACGGTCCTCTGTCGTCCTCTTCACCTTGACGTCCTATGCAATGCATAATTGCCATAGTACAGCGTAGTTCCATCTGTTTTGGGGTGCGCAGTGGCAGCTTTTTTTTTGACCCAAAAAGGGGAGTCCAGCCAGGACACCCCCATAAGGATGGAACTACTACCAGCAACGCATGCGGATGTGCGGATCGACATAGAAAGACTAGTAGCTAACCTTGCTCCGTTCGTAGCGTCCGATTGCTCCTAGTAGTAAGGCCATGAGCCCCTAGTAGCGTCCGATCGCTCCTAGTTCCTCCCAGAAACCTCTCTGTCAGAGTGAGCCGAACAAAGCCGAAGGCGGGTTCCCCCCGACCGTCAGACCTGTTCTCTGACATGTGTATGCGGGGTCTTCTTCGCTGGTGACGTGGGCTCGTGCCATCCGGTTGTGTCGATCATGGCCAGCTGGGCATGGCCAGCTCCATGGAGAGCACCCCGAAGCTCCATGAAACGACTTTGGTTAGGTGACATTCACCCCTAGGAATCCCGTACCGAACCTCAGTGTCGAACACATCACCGTACCTGAGAAGGTATTTGGATCCCTAGGGCACAGAAACTATGATCTGGATCCAGTTCAAGACATTTCTGATGAAAAAAACATCCCACCGGTCTTGGCGGGTTTGTCGACCCAGGTCAGCCAGTCTCCACGGTTCTCCACAACAAGACGGTCTTCTTGAGATACGGGAACAAGATGGAGCAAGCATCTTAAAGCCTTAAAGGAACCGAACTGAATGAAGAGCCACGCTCGAGCTGAGTGGATCATCTTGGGAGGCGCCTTCTTCTCGGCCTTTTTCTTCTCTTGTTTCTTGGCGCTCTCCCTGAGACGGAAGAGTTCCGAACCGAGGATAAACGAGCGAAGCAACGAGGAGCGGAACCCTTCCGCTGCAGGCGTCGTGACATCCCCGTCGTCGCTGTCGCGGAACGGGTGCGTCTGGAAGGAGGAAGAGGTTGGGACATCCGAAAACACCAACAGATTGGGAGGACCTGCTAGTTCGGAAAAGCCTCAAAAACATGAGGTGCGGAACCAGCGCAAGTTCTTTCATTAAGTCTCTCAATCTGCAGATGTTTTTCCCCTCAAGTCAAAAGGCACACACGTCGCACAAAATCAAGCAAACAAATGCAAACCATATTGCTGAAGGTACACCCGCGCTGACTCAAACAAACTGAAACTGATCCCAAACGTGGAGGCCGCCAACACCACCAAACGACCATCGGATCCTGCCCAGTTGACTCAGTTCCTTTTGAACAGTGGATGGCACGGTCAATGGAAAATGCTTGTAACAGGTCGGGTCAAATCAGTGGTGCTTGGGGAGTGCCTTTCTCAGCTGGTGCCTTTCTTGGGATCCAAAGTGCATGGCTTTCTCGGTGAACACTCCCTGAGAAAAAGCTTGAGTCCCTTTGAGGTTCAGCCCAATGCAGCCATGCTTTTGCAGCATGTAAATGCATCGAACATGACCCAAACAGGGTTTTGATGAAAAGGTGAGTGTGAGAAAAGGTCCGAAACCCTATCGACAGAACACTTCTCATCAGGCTTTTGAGTTCAAGACTGCTTCCCAACACACAGCCGGAGCTCTCACATCCGACATGGCTGCCATGTCCATCCATGTCCACCATCTCCAAACCTACTGGATGGTAGTTTTCCATCCAGGAAGCCACATACATAAGCCACCAGCAAGCAAAATCCTTGCAACTCCAACCTCATAGGGCTTGTTGGCTGAAAACGGCGCCCCCTTCAAGACCACTGGTGAGATGAACGACCGGGGTTCGATCGGTGAAGATCTGGATTCTCGCCTGAAGCCTTTCGGTGCATTGGGGTTCGGTGCACCTGGCCAGTGTGGCGTGGGAATTTGGTGTCGGATGGTGGACCGGCCAGGCGACCTCGCAAGGACATGGAAGGCAGGTGGCTGGAGGTCTCTTGAGGCATACTTCGACAACGTCTTGGGTCCCAACCCTCCTCGAACGTTCTGGACTCCTGTTCAGGACGTTCGGCTGTGGGGGTGAAAGGGATGAAAAGGTGATCGCCATCAAATGGGGGCCAGTGGATCCCAGTTACTATATAGAAGGAACGAGCGTTTCTCTATAGGTCTATGGCTTTAGTCGAACTGGAACCACTGCATGGTTACCAGCTATAGTGGTTTGCCTGGATGCCCTGGCAGGAACAAGGAAGTGAGGATCGGCACCGAGTAGCTTCGGTGAGCACATCTCTTGTCGATCATCTCCCTTGTCGATTAGCAAGCTGAAGCTTTTTACGGACTTCAGACTTCATGCAAATTTATAATCCAACGACGAAGCTGCATCCTCCAAACCTATACCACTTCACATACCACCCCGAAAATCAGAAGGATCTCTAGGGCATGGGTCATAGTCATGAAACTTTCTCCATGTTTCTCCTACGTTCCAACTTCTTCTCTTCGTCGACAGGCGCTGTAACCTACCGCTCCTCACCGCTCCATGGGTTTTCCGTCTCGTTCTGTCTCACACGTCGACGCCAACGGCGCCTGTCATGGCACGAGGCGCGAAGGGATTCACCACCTTCGTGGCAGCACCGCCCAAGGCCTGTGTGGCGAGTGCGGCACATGCGGAGTCGAGATGAAAGAGGGGAAAACAAGACAAACATGGGTCCATTGGTCATTTCTTGACATACTTCAGGAACCCGGGATGATAATCACAACTTATCAACTTGTTATGCATATTTTAAGCCAGCTGCCAAAATCCTATTAGGAAGGAGAGCAACATTGCAAGACTAGTAGACAAACTAAACAATCTTGATCAAATGTTCAAGATTGTTCAAGCATATTCAAGCTGCTGCTTCTCACAGCTAGCTCGATGCTGTTGGACAGGGTCAAACCATATCAAACCACTTCCAGGACGTCACCGGTCCCACGAGGTCCCACCGGACATGGTCGGACAGTAGGACAAGCAGCTGTAGTCCATGCACGAGCACGAGATCCATTGAACATCACTGAACAATCCGTTGGTGGGACTTGTCCCTGATGCTTGAAGGGATGGGACTTCGAATCATTCAAGGAGACTTGAGACTTGTTGGCCCAGTAAATTGCACTTCCTCGAACTGCGCCCGGTCAAACTCCCCTTCCGCGTCCGGCCTTCGGCGCGAAGGGGTTCGTGGCCGGCGGCGCGGTGGCGGCCGTCGCGGCGGCGAAGGGGCTGGCGGCCGCCGCGAAGGGGCCGGCTGCAGGAGGTCCAGCCGGTGGTCCATCGGCTCCTGCTTCAGCTGGAGGCCCTGAGGGAGGTCCATCGCCATCAGGTGGTGGCTCCTGGCAGGTTCCGTGGTGGTGCCAGAAGGGTTTGGAGATGTTTGGATAGGTTGAGAGATGTTAAAAGACCTATGCTCTACTGAAAACCATTCGATTTACCAAGCAGTGAGTTGGTCCATTGAGATGGACACCCGTGGAAACACCCCTCTCGCTCTGGGCGGTGGGACGGATGGGGAAGGATGCATCATCGGACCTGAACAGCTTGCGGATGCAAGTGTGCAGAAAATGGATGGCTGTGTGTGCCATCGCCCTATCATTGCTTTAAATACACTTAATGTTACGACTGGATCCAAGCAAGAAAACAAATGGTCACCTCAAGGGACAGAGAAACCATCAATTAATTACAACATATTACAACAATCAGCAAGAACAATAACACTAACTCTTCATTTGTTCATCTGCATGTTTCATGTGTTGCTCTGTTTTTCTTGCCGCAAATTGCCGAAGCGTCCCTCACTCGCAACCGGCACCCTTCGAACTGACTTCGCACCTTCTTCTCTTCTATCTTTTCTTCAGGATCTTCAGGCTTCTCAGGCTTCTCTTGTGGCTTCTCTGGCTTCGCACCTTCCTCGTCCTTCATGACCACATCTTCACCTGCGCCCGGTGGACGGTCCGTTCGCCCCGGCGACGTCCGAACGGACGAAGTGCATCGGGAATGCGGTGGAGGAGCGGTGCACTGGTCAAACATGCACAGGAGTCGTTGATGGTTGAGACAGAGAACAACACGAGTCGGGTCTTAAGATATATATATATATATGATCATGATACTTCTTCACCTTCTTCTTCTGGGGGGTGTCTATCTTGCAATTATGGGGACACCGACACTGGTGACACTTGTCTTGCTTTCACGTGCCGTAGGTCTTTCTAAAGTTTCACTACTTGACACCATGCCACTCATCAGTACCACATGTTCGACACCTGTCATCTATTCCACGTCCTATAGATTCCTATAGTATGTTTTAAGGATCTTTGAGGATTCCCAACACCAAATCACCTGCCGCACCCTTGCCACATTCCGCGACCAGCGGCCGCGACCCGCGCCACACGTGCCTGTTGCGTCAGGTGGAGGACCTTCAGCTGTCCCGGATTTGGGGGATGTTGGATCCTCATCTCCAGCCTGGATGGAGCATGCAATCTGAGCGGCAGATTCGCCGCTCGAATCTGTGACCACCGGCATATGGGACAACCCGAAGCTATGCCAGGTACAGTACAAAACATGACCCACATATACCCACATGACGTGCACATGACTGGATGGTTGAAGAGGGGTTCATGTGTATCATTAATTGAGGTGAAAAAAAACCCGTTCTAAAATCATTATCCTAGGTTGGAATCACAGCAATTCCAAGCGGTGGCCATCATGTACCCAACATGCGCTCATGTATATGGTTGTATGTTGTGTATGCCCTTTTAGCAGCTGCGTTCTTACTTACAGAGTCCAATGGTTCCAAATGTGAAGCTCAAAGTAGCCACCCTCTTGCACACAGAAACAAATTGCCAAGACTATACACCCTGGAAAGCACTTGGACAAGTGGTCAAAGTTGCAAAGGGGTCTAGCGCGGATCTAGCGCGGGTCTAGCGCGGATCTAGCGCGCTTCCCTGCCAGTGCATGAGGCCACCAAACGTCTGTGATCAAGAACTCGCTTTCTCGTCTCTCAAACAGTTACTCCCTTTCAAACAGTTGCTGCCTTTTTCAGCGCGCGCTGCCTTTCAAACAGTTGCTGCTCTTGTGCCTATGCGGGTGTGTGTGTGTGTGTATGTGCACCAATGAGTGACAGTTACAATCAGCTCTTGTTTGTTAATCTTTTCTAAGTTACCTAAGTACTTGATCCTAGCGCCAAACCTAGTGCGAACCTAGCGCAACCCTGCGTTTTGCTAGCGCGACGAGGTAACATACCCACTTTAAACACCAGAATACCAAGCGGTGGCCAAGCGATTTCTGAACGTCTGGGAACATGCCTTACTTAACACATATTCCCGGTTTTTTTTTCGACTCAATTAATATATATATATATTATACGATTGTTGTTTGGGTGTACAGTGATGCAATTGGTCTCTCAATACCACAGGATCAAAACCACGCAATGCTGTGCCTTAGTGATGTAGGGAAAGCGGACAAATTTGTGACAATTTATATAAACAGTATACTCAGTACTCATTCGATACTCTGGCATCACAAGGAACCAGGTCTTGCTGCATTCTGAATTGCCATTCGTCTTTTTGGCTTGCTTTGTTGTGCCTATCCTTGGTGAATCACAAAAAAAACATAACGTCTTTGCATGTGTTTGCTGGACTCCGCGTCAAAGTGAAGACTTAAATCGAGAACATGAGAAGTTGACAGGCTTCTCGAAGCGACCATCATTGATATCAACCGTGATGTTTAAACAGATCGCATGTGGCATGTACGGAACATAGAGCTTAACCAACTTAACCGTCCTTGTCACCGGTTCCAAGAAACCGGTTCTTCACATGCGAGTGACATGCATCCACTTGGAGGGGGAAGGGGAGAGCTGACACTCCCAACCTTGATTGGGATCCCACACTGTCTCTCCAAAGTGCCCTGAATGCGGACAGACCCTTGTCTGTCCCGACCCAGGGGCTGCGTAAACGCGACTCTCCTAAAAAAGAAAACACATGGATACAATATATATATATATTACCACTTCCTGGAATTCCGCTTCTTGTTCATATATATTTATACATGACTTCTGCGTATGCCACACTTCACATCTACTGCCAACCGAATAGTATATATACTGTATATCATTATATTATATATATATGGGAGTTGATCTAAATTCCTTTATCCGGGATCCGTCATTTTCGCCAAAAAAAATTACTTTCGCCAAACTTTCGCCTTCCTGCGTTTTATCTTTCGCCGAAGTACGTTGTATTTATGTGTGCCATGTATGTTGTGTTTTGTTCACGTCAATGGCTTCTTCTTTACTGGCAAACACAAAATAGAAACTTCACTGTTTGTCAGCATGTGTCTTCTACTTAACTGTTGACACCCTGTACGTCTCTTTTGTTTCTCCTGGGTGTCAGCAAGAATCAAAATTGCAAGAATCACTGTAGTAGCCGGTCACTCAAACTTACTCATAATGGGCTGGGGGTCAGATGTGGCAGGGTGAACTTTCGCCAATCTTGAGCTGAACTTTCGCCAAACTTTCGCCTTTTGCGGGGTAGAGTTTTGTGGCAAAGCCACCCCCCAAAGCAGGAGCAGGAATAGTAGTAGTAGTAGTAGCAGTAGTAGTAGTAGGAGTAGGAGTAGGAGTAGTAGTAGTAGTAGTAGTGGTGGTAGTGGTAGTGGTAGTGGTAGTGGTAGTGGTAGTCGTAGTAGTAGTAGTAGTAGTAGTAGTAGTAGTAGTAGTAGTAGTAGT